AAATGTGGGGATATATGCCATTTAAACATGGCTGCACTATTGACAACTGCAGCCCCCACAGGCCTCTATGCTGCACAGAATGTTGAGACTTGTCCCCAACATGTTGAGACTTGTCTGGATGTGTTTTCCCAAACCTATTGTCCCTTTGCTGATTGACTTGTTTACCTGAATTCCTTCTCCCTTGCCCACATTCAAAGCCCATTGTTTTGTTAATTGCCTTATTGATTGCTGTATTGACTATAAAATAAACTCCTGGGACTGAAGTGGGGGTTGCCTCCTCAGAGTGACTCTCCTGGCCCCACTTCTCTGTAAGAGTTGTGCAGTTGGTTACTGTCTTCGCCATCCCGATTACCGTCGCCGCTGCGACAAAGTGGTTTAAGTGCTCGGGTGCTTACCGAAAGATCAGCGGTTCGAACCCACCAGATGCTCCGCAGGAAAAAGATCTGGCAGTCTGCTTCCATAAAGATTTACAGCCTTGGAAACCCTATGGGGAAGTTCTACTCTGTCCTATAGTGTCACTGTGAGTTGTAATCCACTCAATGGCAACAGGTTTGGTTTTGGTTTTGGAAGCTTTCTTTTTAACCAGAGTAATTTTTAAAACATTCATCTCAGTTTTCCTGAAACTGGTCACATCACTGAAAATGGTTAAACATTTTGAAGCAAGTGGCCTTTTTTGATCTAAATATCTCAATTGAACCTTTTGCCTCTTACCTCTCTCTTTCAAAACTTTCATAAACCTTCCCCTAGGCTGCCAGGAATCTAATGCCTGTGTTTCCTCAGTATTGTTAGGGGCTCTCTCAGGGCTGGGAAAAAGCAGACCTTGACAGCTGAATTGCTTTTACTGGAAGGTTCTTGACATCTGGGCAGGAAACCTGGAGGGGCAGGCCTTGCGATTTGCACAGCAGTGGAGTGTTGATCTGCACATAGCCACACTAGTTTTACTTACTAAACTTTATTGCAGTTAACGAAGTAGTTATTTTTAACAATAAAAGCAGAGTGCCTATAGATGAGAGGATGGTCCTGTCTCAGGCCAAGTTCCCTTCCCTAGTGTTTCAGACCCGGGCTGGCTAGAATAGGCTTCTAGACTATAACATTTATCCACCAGGTGTCATTATTTAGCAATTCTAGCAAGCTGCTGGGCTGCCTCAGTGCCCGCCTAGCTTTTCAATGGTTAGAATCCAAGGCTAGAGACAAGCATATGAGATGAAAGAAAACAGAGATTTGAGAAAGGGCAGTGTGGTTGGGATGCAGCTTGGGAGCCTTTCAAAGACCAATGACGCTTTCCTGATCAAGTTTCCTGACCTACATAGTTCCCTGGAAGAAGTCAGAATTTGGGTTCTTAGGAGTAGCCCTGGCTTCCAGCTGTGCTGTGTTACTCATGTTTGTATTGTCAAGTCCAAGTAGTCTTTCTTCTGAAATACAAACTACCCTGCTGTGCCCACCATGTCCTTTCCCTCTGGCTCCTGGTTCCTGTATCTTGGGGGACAGGAAAGCATCCACAGCAGAGAGAAATCGCTCCTTCCTAGACTGAGGGGCTCTAGAGACACAGAATTTAGGATACAAAGATGAGAAGTCATGGGGTTGAGAACAGGAGATGCGAGTGGTGGTGCCTGGTGAGAGGCCACCTGGAGGACTAGAGTGGGAAAGGAGCCTCTAACCGCCAGCTCCCCTATGCTTCTCTTCAGGTGGCAGGTACAAGGCTGGAGGCTGGGATGGAATCAGGCCGAGCCTATCCCCGCTTCGCTCTCAGAGCCAGCCATTGTTGGTGAAATCCATGCGCAGCGCCTCCTCCTCAGCGGGGCTCAGCTCCTGCAGTGGGGCACGGCAGGGGCCTCCGTAGTAGCCAAGCCAATCCATGGTTTTCTTCAGCCCTGGGATCCCAAAGCGCTGGGTCACCTGAGAAGCAGGGCCTGTTAGAAGAGACTGGGGAATCCCCTGCACACCCATATCTGGGGCCCAGGCACCTATTCCTTTCAGAAAATTGGCATTCCCACCCTCCGTCCCCGCTGAAGTTACTATACCAAATCTATGACACCAGGGTAGATTAGGAAACCAGATTTAGGGAACAGAAAGCATGTTACTAAAATGTAAAAGCCCTAGATTAATGAAGGAAGGTTTAGGAGAAAAAATCCAGTCTATAAGGAGAGAGAGTAGTGATTCCTCTGGGCACTAGAGCATCACCTGTCTGTAGCCCAGTTCCCTGGAACCTGACCCAGGGCACATCAGGCCTAGGAAGCCAGGAAACAGAAGGGCCTGTGAGAGCCTCAGGCACAACTGGGACCTCCACTCCCCATGTAGCAGGGTTCCCCGCACCCAACCATAGTTCCTCCCTGACCCCAACTCTAAATGCTTCTCGCAGGGAAAACAATGAGTCATTTGCTCAAAGAAGTTTTGTTGTGTAACCTTGTGTCATTTACTTATCATCCCTGAGCAAGGTCCCTGGTCCAAAAAATGAGGAGGCTGAACATGATCTCTAGAGTCTTTTCTATTATAATGCAGGTCCTAAAGCTACAGTCATAATTTAAATCATGCATGGAATAGAGTGAGTGAAGCATCGAGTTTCTTTACTTTTGGTGTTGCAACTGGTTATTTCATGCTGATTGGAAGTGTTAGGTGAATCTTTGACTACATAAAAACTAGGAAACCAATCATTACTTAGTAAAGTTTTATTTGGAGAGAAGGTAAAACCTCAGAAGTGTAGGTTCCATGAAAGGAAAAGATAATAAGAGAGGTTGTTTGGGGTAAAAAGGCTGGGGACCACTGATGGATAATTGACTAATAACTAGTCACCACTAGAGGCCAGTAGGCTTTAACAAGCATGGGATTTTTTTTCTTGGAATTGGTAGTAAGCCACTCTCTTCCTAGGCCTAGCCCCAGCCATAATGTTCTAATAACCTGGCCTTTTCACCCAAAACCTGAGTAGGGTGAGAGAGACCTAGGGGGGAGGGTGGAAACAAGAGGAAACTTTGTGTCTACCATATAGGTTTCTCAAGATTACAGATCTGTCCCCTCTTCAGACTCTGAGAAACAGTTGAATGCTTTGGTGGTAAAGACCATGGAAAATCCTAAATATAGCTGAGGGTAGGAGGGTAGCTGGATGGGAAGGTGGAGGAAGGACATTGTGTTCAACCAGGGCGGGGAGGGCAATAGGGTGACATCAAGCTGCTCTTGGGGTGGCTGAGCCCACAGCCCAGGCAGCAGAAAGGTGTTCCAGGCATTCCTGAGTGTGTGCCCAGAGCTGGCAGAGGAGAAGGCACAAATGAAGGGTAAGAAATGACAACATGCAGGGAGCTAGGATGGCAGCAAGGCATCCTCTCTTCCCAAGGGGCAGCCCAAGCTGCTTCATCTGTAAGATGAAGTCATAACAACGCCTACTCCGTAGAGATGTCACAAGGGCCAGATGAGAAAAATAACACTAATATTAGACCAGTCCCCAAGAGCCCTGAAAGCTTTTGCTCTTCCTGGTATGGTATTCGGGCTCTGGGACTTTCTCTTTCCCAGGCGGATAGGAATGAGAGAGCAGAGGCCCCACCCTAGTAGAATGTCTAGCATGTACAGGACAGCCTGTGCCCTGATAGGGCTTAGTCAAAAGGCCCTCATTTCTGTGGTCCTTACATACTATGTGCTGAGTGTCTTATCCCAGGAGAACTTCCATATCCAGGGAGATTTGTGCTTGCCTCCTCAGCTGTCCTTTCCCTAAACCTGAGTTAGTCTGCCCTGTGAGGCAAGGATATAAACTATGAGATAGATCGAGAGCACACTTGTAACTTGATCCAAACAAAATACTGTGAGTGTCTAGCTCAGTGCTGGGCCTAGAGTGAGGCTAGGAAGGCGCTTGCCTAGGATGCAAAATTTAAGGAGGTGCCAAAAAACTCGGCAATCAAGATAAATAATATTTTAATATAACATTTTCTAAAGATCAAGATAAATGCTAAAAATCTATGATGAACAAAATGTCGAATAACAGTGTCACGCCATACCATATTGGAACCTGAGGCAAAAGGAAAAATGTGCACCCCATATACATGTTTTTAATGGTTAATTTTTTTTTCTAGAAGTAGATTTTGAAAAACTTTATTGATGAGTTTTCTTCTATCATAGCTAAGAAAGTAAAATTATAATTATGCTTTCGGTATAAATAAAATACTTAAACTTAAAATAATACTGTGAATTTAAATACACTTTTTAATTTTTCAATGTTTTTTCAACTACTTCTAACAAAAAAAAATAACCATTTAAAAAACAATTAGATCTTCAGCTTATGGGAGGATGGAGTAGATCTACTTTTCCCTATACCTCCCACTAAGTACAACTAAAAACCCTGGACAGTATATAAAAAACAAACATGAGACTCCAAAAGGTAGAGAGAAGAAGATTAACTACGAACCTCAGAATTCAAGGAAAGACACAGTGGTGAGTTCTCTGGGTTTCTTTTTGCCTCATATGTCTTGCTGAAGAAGCCGGCAACCCAGAAACGCCAATGGGCACAGACAAAAAAAAAAAGCCCCAGCAAAAGTCTACTGTCTAGCCAAGGACCAGGAAAGAGGCAGTCTAGCAAGATAGAAAACTTCTGGACAATAATTGCTCTACTCCAGCCAAACACTGGAGGAAAAAAAAAAAAAATTTGGTCCTACCCCCACTCAGGCCACAGCAACAGCTGAGTAAGAAGCCTAAACATCCATCCTTACCAGGCTGTAATGGCATCCCATTCCCTCCATCCACCTGGGTGGTGTCACAGAAGGCCAAGTAGGGAGCCAGCATTCCTATCTCCATCAAGCAGTAACGAGGACCCCTTCTACCCACCCATGGTGTTAGTGGAAACTACCTGGGAGCCTGAGCTTCCTCTCCCACTCAGCAGTAGGTGCCTGTCCCCCTCCCACAGGCATGGTGTCAGAGGAGGGTTGGTGGAGAGTCAGGACTTTCACCACTGCCTGCCCGTAAGGAGGCCATCTCCTCTTACATACATGATGTCAGTGAGGAGCAGTAATGAGGCACTCCCACCCCTTCCAGTCAGGGAGGTGTCAGTGGGGGCCTAGTGGAGAACTGGAACTCCCACCGCCACCTATCAGTAAGAAAGAGTACTCTCTCAACTGTCACTGGAGGCTGAGTGGGGAGACTGGACCCCTACCCCTATCTGGCAGTAACAAGGTGGTGCTTCCCCTTGCCCTGTCAGAGTGGTGTCAGAGAAAGTCAGCAACAACAGAAGGCTTAACTAAGACCCAAAGTCTCATGACATAATACCCAAAATGTACAGATTTCAATACTGAAAATCATTCATGGGTTGTGGTTGCACAACACATTAACATAATTGATATCACTAAATTATACACCTGGAAAATGTTGAATTGGCAAATGTTGTATTATATATATTTTTACAGACTAAAAAAAAATAAAAGAAAAAATCATTTACGTACCAGAAACCAGGAAATCTCAAAAAAGACAATCGATGCCAACACCGAGATGACAGAGCTGTTAGAATTATCTGACAAAGGTTTTAATGCAACCATCATAGCAATGCTTCAACAAACAAATATGAACGCATCAAATGGAAAAAATATAAATTTTTAGCAAAGAAATAGAAAATATCAGCAAAGAAACAGCAGATATACAGAAGAATCAAATGGAAACTTTAGAACTGAAAAATGCAATAACCAAAATTAAAAACTCAATGGGCTCAAGAGCAGAATGGAAGGGACAAAGGAAAAAAAATCAATGAACTGGAAGATAGAACAATAGAAATTACTCTGTCTGAAAAACAGAGACAAAAAAGAACACAGCCTCAGGGACCTGTGGGGCTGTAACAAAAGATTTAACATTTGTGTCATCAGAGTCTCCAACGGAGTGAAGAAAGAGGGTGGGACCAAAAAAGTGCTCAAAGAAATAATGGCTGAAAACTCCTCAAATTTGGCAAAAGACATAAACCTACAGATTCAAGAAGGTGAGTGAACCCCAAATAGGATAAACCCAAAGAAATTCACCCAAAGACACATCATAGTCAAACTTTGGAAAATTAAAGACCATGAAAAATTCTTGAAAGCAGTGAGAGAGAAATAACACCTTCCGACAGAGAAAAAAACCACAACCGCTTTCAATGACAACAGATTTCTCTTGAGAAACCAGAGATGCCAGAAGGAAGTGGTATATTTTTCAAGTGCTGATAGGAAAAAAAACAAACCAGTCAATCCAGAATTTACGTCCAGTGAAAATATCCTTCAGGAATGAAGAAGAAATTCAGACATTCTTATATGAAGGAAAACTAAGTGAATTTGTCGTCTGCAGACCAACCCTATGAGAACTGCTAAAGGAAGTTCTCTAAACAAAAAGGAAATGAGGAAAGGGGGCATGGCTATAAAAGAGTAACATGAGAGATACTTGTAGTGATGGAATTGTTTTGTATTTTGACTGTATCAATGTCTATATCCTGGTTGTGACATTGCACTATTGTTCTGTAAGATGTAACCATTGGGGAAAATTGAATAGAAGCTACATGGGATCTCTCTGTATTATTTCTTACAATTGTATGTGAACCTACAACTGTCTCAAAATAGAAAGTTTAATTTAAAAAAATACATAAGATCATGTACATAGGAGCACACGTTTTTCTTTTTCTCTCAGACTCCATTATGGCTCCACACAACCCTGCCTAGCACTAGGCAGGTTCTTAACATCTTAGGTTCTCCCCAGCTTGCCCAGCACAGAATTGGGGTGCATGATCTGACCACGGAACAGACTTTAAAGACAGGATTCTCCTCCAGCCTTCCAACTCCTCCTCTGCTACTCCCAATAGTCTCTTTTTTAGCATCTGGCCCCGATAAAGCTGGCCATGGTTCACTCCCTTGAGGGTGGTGCATCTCTAGGTCAGCTCCCAGGATTATGTCATAATCACCCAGGATGCTTGTTTCAATGCATATTTCTGGGCCCCACTCCAGACCTAAAAAATTAGAATTTTAACTAGCATCCCAGTGCACACTTAAGTGTGAGACACAATAGGGCTCAACTTTGTCTGAAGTCAGGATTTGCTGGGGAGGCACAAGAAGTTCCCACACTGGAAAGGATGTTCTGAGAGAGAAGAGGCTGAGTGAGACCCCTGTGCCAGCCCTGGCTCCTGCTCCAATGAGGGCACAGAGCCCCTTCCCACCCCCTGCTGCCCTGGGCTGGGAGCTCACCGCAGTGTTTGGCTCAATGAGTCGGTGCTGCAGCTTCTGGGCATCTTCCCATTGCCCTGTGAGGCAGAGTTGCTCCAGCTGGCACACCTGGGCCCCCAGGACATTGGCCAGGGCACACACACCCCCCACAGCTCCTGTCGCAGAGTAAGTTGCAGAACATCAGCAGAGTCTCTTCTCACAGAGAATGTAGAACCCTCTCCCCCTGGGGAGACAGAATGCAATTTCTGTGGCACTGGTTGGCCATGTCAGGGGCAAACTCTGTGAGTTCACAAAGTACAGATTTCCAGAGAGGAAAGCTGCCTGCATGTTCAAAGCAGAACCCTGCACACTGAGTGCTGCTCAGAGCTGTTCTGTGAGGGGCAGGGAGCAGAGCCAGAGGCTAACTAAGGACGGTTCTTTCCCTGCCCCCACATCTTGCCCCCCTAGTAAGGTCCCACCTGCCAGTGCACACCTCCAGTGTTCGTCCAATAGCCCCTGACTCATAAATCCTGGAGGGAGGTGAAGTGCATGGGAAGCTTTTTGCTCTTCTGAAACCGTATTCCACCCAGTGAATCCAGCCTGAGACGGAGGTGGGGTGGAGGTGGGGGAAGCTGGAAAGAGCTCTGAACACAGAGTCAAGAGACTTGGCATTTCCTCCCATTGGCCATATAAACTTGGCCAACTCACAGACTCTCTCTGGTCCTCTTTGTTCTCATCCGGGCAATGAAAATGTGTTGGCTGTGATCTGAGAAAGCCCTGGCACTGCTGCAGGCTGTGCATGTGATTCTAAGGCTAGTTAGGAATGACCAAACGCACGGTGGCCTCAAGGCTGGAGAGAGAAAGAGCAGGCAATTGGAATAAGTACATATGTTGCTGTTGACGTTAGGTGCCCTCGAGTCGGTTCCGACTCAGGGACCCACTGTACAACAGAAGGAAACACTGCCTGGTCCTGTGCCATCCTCACAATTGTTGCTATGTTTGAGCCCATCATTGCAGCCACTGTGTCAATCCATCTGATTGAGGGTCTTCCTCTTATACCCTGATCCTCTACTTTACCATGCATGATGTCCTTCTCCAGGGACTGATCCCTGCTTATAACATGTCCAAAGTACATGAGGTGTAGTCTCGCCATCCTTGTTTTTAGGAAGCATTCTGGGTGTGCTCCTTTCAAGATGTGATTAGAGGACCTAAATTCGTCACCTAGGTAGGGAGCTCAGGACTCAGAACAAACTGCAGGCATTCCTATAGGCATTGTACAGGCCAGGCGTTTTATACTCCCACCCTCCACTCCATGCCACCAAGGTCACACACAGCACCCAGTATTCAGAAAGGCAAATGGCATGGCCAAAATTCCTGAGGTTTCAGAGCAGGCATGCTGGCAAATGCCCTCTGCAGCCCCAGTCCCAGCCCTCAGGGTCTCTCCCAGCAGAGCCCAGCTGTCCTGTGAATCTTGGTCACCGATCACAGTTTGAGAGCAGAGGGCACCCTACCCAAGGCATAGCTGGCAAGCAGGAAGCCAGCTGATCCAGCCAACACCTGGAAATCCTGTTTCCTGGTCTTGTGAACAATCAGCCCGATCCTGGTCACCTGAAAGAACAAACCCGGAGTGCGTGCTGGGCCCAGAGCCCCAGCCGCCAGCCTGGAGTGAGGGCTGGGGAAGCGTTGTTGTAGGAGAGCCCCATTCCTGGAGAGATGCCCCAAAGTTCAGACAAAGCCCCGAGTGCCCAAGGACAGAGAGAACCCAAACAGGTGCCCAGGACGGAGTGGTCCCAGAGCTGCCCTAACTTTGGTAGCAAAAGTGCTAGGGCCCAGAGAAAGAGAGGCATGCCCCGGCCTGGGAGTGGCCTGCCACTCACATCACCAGCGCTGTCCTTGATGCCCACAATATTTGGGTGCTGGGACAGCGTGACTACCGCATCCACAGGCAAGTCCAGCCCTGTGTTGGCCGGGACACTGTACAACACCACAGGGATGGGGGAGAGGTCAGCAACCTAAGAGGGTAGAGAAAAGGGGTAAATGGGAGCTGCCCAGCCCATCAAAGCCCCAGTGACTGCCCACAACCAGCAAGGACCTGGCCTGGGTCACTGCAGCACCACTTGGACAGGTCACCAGCTTAACTATAAGTCACAAGTACCATGGACACCGATTTTAAGTAATAATAATCTGCAATATTTACTGGGCGCTTTGTATGTGCCAGGTACCATCCTAAGCCCATTATGCTCATGATCTCATTTAATCCTCACAATAAACTTATGACAAAGATACCATTATTCCTCCCATTTTGAAGGAGGAGGAAACAGCGACTCAGAATGGTTACGTAAATTGCCCGATGTCACAAAGCTGGTACGTGGTGGCACTCCAGCATCTCCGTGGGAGAAAAGACCTGGCGATCTACGCCTGTAAAGATTACAGCCAAGAAAATCCTATGGGGCAGTTCTACTCTGTCACATTGGGTTGCTATGAGTTGGCATCAACTCGACAGAAATAACGCTCACCACCTACCCCTTGCTCCTTTTCTATCCCTCAGCATTGTCTCCACCTCATCTAGCCTCCTCTCAAACCCACACCCTGCCTCGAACCCATGCCCACCCATCACACCCACCTTGGTGTAGTGGTGAATGAGGGCAGCACTGCTCATGCGGCCACGATAGTAGCAAGGGGTCACCACCATGACAGCATCAGCCCCAACCTGGGCCATGCTCACGGTCATCTCCACTGTGGCTTGAGTGGCTGCAGGCGGAAAAATGGAGTCTTCTCTATGAGTCATGGAGGGCAAGAGCAGGAGATAAAAGGCCTGGGCTAGGTCCCTGGGGCAGACAAAGGGTGCCTCAGCGTGTCTCAGAAGAAGTAGAACAAGTAGGCAGAACCCAACTCCCAGGGCCAAGGAGCCTGAACCCCACCCTCAGCCACCTCCAGGGTCCTGGACATTATGGCCTCACACTCGCAGCCGGAGCCAGCAATCAGGAGCTTGTCCTTGGGCACGGCCTGGCGCGCACGGCTCACCATCTCCAGGCGCTCACTGCTCGTCAGGAAGGGGAACTCACCATTGGAGCCCTGGACCACGAAGCCTGCAACACAGGTCCCATCACAGCCAGCTGACACCTGCTCATCCTCTTATGAACAACCAGGGCATTGGTATTACACTCACCCAGGTTCCTACCTCCCTAACACCACAGCCTTTTCACATATTTCCTTTCTGATGCAGCCAGAATGTGTTCTTACCCATTTACAGTGAGGGTTTTCAAGTGATTTTTCTTTGTTTTAATGAAATGTTTTAAATACACCCAAAAGGATAATAATACAATCCACATCAGTGTACCCAACACCCAAGGCAACCCACCCCTGATCACCTTCCTCTTCCTCTTCTCTCTGTCCTGACTTTATACACTGAAGACATACATTTGAACCCATGAGCAAGACGTAATTTAGTTCTGGCAATTTTAAACTTCTTGTAAATGGGATCAAACTTATATAAACCAGTTGCCACTGACTCGATTCTGACTTATGGTGACCTCTTGTTCGTCAGAGTAGGACTGTGCTCCAGAAGGTTTTCTTTTTTTATTGCACTTTAGATGAAGATTTACAGAACAAATAGTTTCTCATTAAACAGTTAGTACACATATTGTTTTATAACATTAGTTAACAACCCCATGACATGTCAACACACTCCCTTCTCGACCTTGGGTTCCTTATTACCAGCTTTCCTGTCCCGTCCTGCCTTCTAGTCCTTGTCCCTGGGCTGTTGTGTCCCATTAGTCTCGTTTTGTTTTATGGAGCTGTCTAATCTTTGGCTGAAGGGTGAATCTTGGGAGTGACTTCATTACTGAGCTAAAACGGTGTCTGGGGACCGTACTCTCAGGGTTTCTCCAGTTTCTGTCAGGCCAGTAAGTCTGGACTTTTTTTTTGTGAGTTACAATTTTGTTCTACGTTTTTCTCCAGCTCTGTCTGGGGCCCTCTGTTGTGATCCCTGTCAGAGCGGTCAGTGGTGGTAGCTGGGCACCATTTAGTTGTTCTGGACTCAGTCTGGTGGAGGCCGTGGTAGCTGTGGTCCATTAGTCCTTTGGACTAATCTTGCCCTTGTATCTTGTTTTCTCTCCATAGGGTTTTCAATGGCTGATTTTTCAGAGAGCACCAGGCCTTTTTTCTGAAGTGACTCTGGGTGAACTTGAACCTCCAACTTTTGGTTAGCCGCTGAATGCATTAACTGTTTGTACACCCAGCGACTCTCAAATTTATATAACCTTCTGCAATTTGCTGTTTTTGCTCAGCATTAAGTTTTAAGCTTTGTCCATAGCAGTACATGTAGCTCTGATGCATTCCTTTTAATTGCTGTGTAGTATTCTGTTATATGGTTAGACTACAATTTATTTTTCATTCTCCTGTTGAGGACATTTAAAATGTTTCCTTCTTTTTGCTATTACAAGCAATGTTGAAACAAACATTTTCTGTAATATCTCCTGTGCACATGTGCAGGAGTTTTTCTGGAGTTAAGATACTTGGGCATGTAATTGGTGGGTCATATGGGCATGCATCTTCATGTGCCAAACTTGTCTTTAATTAACCAGTGTATATCCCATCAGCAGCATGAGAGAGCCTGTTAGTGTTCATCCATGCTAACACTTGGTATTGTCAAAACTAATTTTTGCCAATTTGCTGGGTGAAAAGTGAAATCTCATTGTTCTATTTTGCATTTTTCTGTTTTATCAATCATTTGTTCGAGGGGTTTCTAACATGTACCAGCTACAGATGTCAACCCTTTAACATCCAGCAAAGACCAGAAGAACTGATGCTCTTCAGCAGGATAACAAGGAAGTGTGAGTAAAATCACTTTTCTCTCAACTTTTGTCAAAATTTAACTTTCTTTTTCCTGTTCTTTTCTTTCTCTTCCCCACTCCATTCCATTCCCCACCCCCTGCCAAAAAAAAAAAAAAAAAGTAGTTTACAAATATAGCAAACAATGTTGTTGTTAGCTGCCCTCAAGTCGCCCCCAACTCATGGTGACCCCACGCACAGTGAAATGAAACACTGCCCAATTCTGCGCCATCCCCACGATTGCAGATTGGGCCATTATGATCCACAGGAAAGCATACAATACCTTAGGATTATCAACAAATAGAATGATATCTGGGAGAAGGGGAAAACAATAATAAAGCCAGGAGCAACGTTGGCATAGAAAATTCCTGCAATACAGTTGTGAGGATGGGCCATAAATTTGACTTAGAGTTTCCTGACAGTCAAAGCTAAAAAGGAAACATGGTCAGCTAACACATATGTAGAATCCAAAAGATAAAAGCAAAGCAGCTGCCCTGGAAAAGCACAGTTTCCTGGCACTGGAACCAAGAGAAATTGTTCCTGTGAGTCATCCTTAAGGGGACACAGTGGGATGTAGACTCAACTTTACACCACCAACCTATTTCCATGCTGTTAACTACATCGTTAGATCCCACTGAGTGGATTGCCAGAATCTCTCTCACTAGACATTTAGCAATTTCCCCCCAGTTTTTTGCTTTGATAGCATTGCAGGGAACATCTGGAGGCAAATAGCTCCTGGCTTCTGTTGATTGCCTCCTGAGGATCCATTCCTTGGTGTCGGGTTAGCAGCCTTCCTACACATCCTGCTACATGAGGCCCCAGTCCTTCGCCAGTGGGTCATACCCATGTGCAGAGCTGTCAAACCCGGATGAGGGCCTGAGTCCATCCACTTTCGGACCAGCACCATCTGACTAAGTATTTAAGGATCAAGCTCTTGCCACTTCTGTTTAAATGCCAAAGACATCTTCCTCCCCAGTCCTGCTTCCCACCCCTTTATTTTGCGTTTTCCTGTTTTATCAATCATTTGTTTGAGAGGTTCCTAACATGTACTGGCTACAGGTGTCAACTGGGCTGGGAACTGGGGCTGGTTCTTGCTACAGTCCTTCTTCAGCCACAGTCACTCACATCCAGGTCACTCCTCATCCTGGTGATCAGTTCCCTCCAGGTGGACAGGTTCTGGGCACCTGCCCTGAACAGCACAGCTTTTCGGTCTTACACTCTGGAAGGCAGAAGCAGGCTCCTGTGCTTGAGGCTCCTAGTGGCACAGCCCTCTCTCTTTCCTTTTATAAGGGAGCATCTGACCCAGGCCCAACTCTCAAGAGGGAAGAAATGCCAGGCTGGGGAAGACAGAAGTGTGGTGTAGCTGGAGGAGCTCTGGACTCAAGAGTCACCTCTGGCTTTTGAGCATGTCACAGCATGTCCCTGAGTCTCCGTTTCCTCCTCTGTAGAATAGCAATGAAATCCTTTCCAAGCCTATCTTACAGGACTATTTAAAATAAGAAAATGAACAAGAAAGAACTTTGAATCTGATTATTAAGGGATTGTTGGTAAAATCACTTTCCTCTCAACTTTTCTTATTTAACTTTCTCTTACTTCTTCTTTCTCCTACCCACTTCATTCCATTCCAAAAATATTTTGAAATAGTTTGCAGCATACAAGGCAACAGGATTATCATAAATAGATATCTGGGAGAAAGGAAAGAAAAGGAAGCCAGGAGCAAAGCTGGTATACAAAACTAAATGCTGCAAGAGCTCCCTCCTTCTCCCTGGCTAGATGTCCACTGCCAGGCCTGACGTGCCTCCCCTCATGTAGAGAGGGGCCTAGAGGAGAGGAAAAGGCCAGGGTCCTGCATGGGCAGGGGAACCGAGGCAAGCGAGTGGCAGAGGAGCAGGAAGGCCATGGAGCAGAATTGTCCGATGCATAGGCTCTGAAGTCAGAGGAGCTAGGACTGAAGTCTCATTGTGGTCCTTCGTGAGATATGAGATCTTGAGCAAACGGCTTAACCAAACCTCAGCTTCCTCAGCTGAAGAATAGGGGTACCTTCCTCACAGTGCTATCATGAGGTTTCAATGAGATGCGAGTTGTAAAGTGCTAGGAATAGAACCTGGCACTCAATAAGTGTGAGCCGTAGTTATCATAACCCCAGAAGAAAGTGCTGAAGCCTTAAATCAGGAAGGTGGCAGTTTTCCTTTGAAGCGGAGGAGGATGGCTGGCGTTGGAGCAGAGACAGCACTCCAGGACCTCCCAGGCCCCTCCAGCTGTGAGACCAAAGAGGCTCATTCTCATTTCAGAGCTATTCTCCCCTGCCCCCACGGTTGTTCTGGATGCTCAGGGAAGCCAGAGTGGCCTGGGAAGGGGAGTGGGTGTTTGGGGTTGAGGATGCATGAGAAACATGGTGACATACAGTGGCCAAGAGGAAGCACAGCCTCTCTTATATAAAGAGCATTCCTGGTCACTGTTATGCCCTCTTAGTGCATCATCATTGCCACGTCCTCTGAGAGTCTTTCTGGGATTCCTCCACTGGACAGCTTTCCTGCGAACTTCCATTACCAGTTCCTTGCTGCCTACTCAAATGCACAGAGGGCCTCAGAAATTTCAAGTCTGCCCTCCCCCGCCCACATTAGACAAAAATTTATCAGTCTGACCTCTGCTTTAAATGAGGGAATTGGACTGGACGGTCTCTGAAGTCTTCCTTGACATCTTCCTCTTTTTCGATAACCCTCTACTCTGCCAAGCATGATGTCCTTCTTTAGGGACTGATCCCTCCTGATAACATGTCCAAAGTATGTGAGACGTGGTCTCATCATCCTTGCTTCTAAGGAGCATCTGGTTGTACTTCTTCCAAGACAGATTTGTTCTTTCTTCACCAACACCATGATTCAAAGGTGTCAATTCTTCTTTAGTCTTCTTTATTCATCGTCCAGCTTTCATGTGCATATGAGGCAATTGAAAATACCATGGCTTGGGTCAGGAGCACCTTAGTCTTCAAGGTGACAACTTTGCTTTTTAACACTTTAAAGAGGTCTTTTGGAGCAGATTTGTCCAGAGCAATGTGTCGTTGGATTTCTTGACTGTTGCTTCCATGGGTATTGATTGTGGATCCAAGTAAATGAAATCCTTGACAACTTCAATCTTTTCTCCGTTTATCGTAATGTTGCTAATTGGTCCAGTTGTGAGGATTTTTGTTTTCTTCATGTTAAGGTGTAATCCATACTGCAGGCTGTGGTCTTTGATCTTAATCAGTAACTACACTACTTTAAGTCCTCTTCACTTTTAGCAAGCAAGGTTATGTCATCTGCGTATCGCAGATCGTTAATGAGTCTTCCTCCAATCCTGATGCCCCATTCTTCTTCATATAGTCTAGCTTCTCGGATTATCTGCTCTGCATACAGATTGAATAAATATGGTGAAAGGATACAACCCTGATGCACACCCTTCCTGACTTTCAACCACGCAGTATCCCCTTGTTCTGTTCAAATGACTGCCTCTTGATGTATGTGTGTGTGTATGCATGTATATATGTATGTGTATAGATACATACACACACACACACACACACACACACACACACATATGGTCATGGAGCCCTGGTGGCACGGTGGTTAAGAGCTCAGCTGCTAACCAAAAGGTTGGCAGTTCAAATCCACCAGCCGCTCCTTGGAAACCCTATGGGGCAGTTCTACTCTAGCCCATAGGGCACTATGAGTCAGAATCCACTCAACGGCAACAGTTTTGTTTTTTTTTAAATATGGTCACTTATTAGTAATGTCAAAAAATTCAAATACTCCTCCCAACGGTACTCCATAAAAGCAAATGACAACATCTAGGGTATATATGAATTTATCCATCCTTTGCAGTAATTCTGTGCACTTCCTCCCCCACTCCCTTCTTGCTTGGGCATAAGGCCCACAGGCTGGAAACCGCTGGTAAATCCATAATAGATCCAAATGGTAAGAAATTTCTTCTAATTTCACTTGGAATTAGATGGTACCTTGTAGCTGGTAGCTGACTTCTCTCAAATTTCACGGGAAAGGTGGCTGCCTCCCTTTAACTGACTTGGGGCCACCACTTGCCCCAGAAATAGCTTCTTGGGAAACAGGAGGAGGAGGAGTTTGAGTCCCAGGTTTGCGTGAGGGCAGAGAAAGTGTCAGAACACCTGGGAAGAGGTGAGGAATAAGGATGAGAGAAGTAGACCCCATGTGGGGATGGTGGAAAGAAGCCTGAGAGGCGGTACAGGGCTGAGATTAGTGGTATAGGTTTAGAATCCGGCAAAACTGGGATCTAATCCTAGCAATATCACTTACAATCTATGTCATCTCAGCATAATTTCTCTGAACTTCAGATTCCTCATTTGCAAAATAGAGTTAACTTAATACCTTCCTTATGGGGCTGTGACTTAACATTTAACACTGAACACAGAGTATAGCATATACTAAAACTCAAAAAGAGGAAGCCGGTAGTAGTATTAGTAATACTGGTAGTAGCAGGGCAGCAGACACGGTCACAGGCACAACAGTAACAGAAACAAGAGCAGAGATCATACCAACACAATAGCTCTGAAGGTAGGTGGTGGGGAGGGATCCAGCATGGAAACATGGATCCGAATGGGTCCGGGGAAACAGGTGGGGCAGGGAGAGAGAACTGTAATGTGGGACACCACATAGCTTGAGAAGAAATAGGCAGGGTGAAGATGGCACCAAGAGGACAGGAGGCCTCTGTCCCACCCCACTTGCTTACCCTCTTCTGAAAGCCCATTTCTTTCCACCATCCCCAACACCTGGCTGCTTTCCCCTTCCCTGGCTATGGCAAGTTGGTAAGTGTTGAACCCCCTGGAGATATCCCATTCCTGGAACCTGAGAACTGGGGAGCCATTTTAAGGAGTCTCAAAAGAGCCCAGTGAAAATACCCCAGGCCATGGCCCTCACACCAAGGGCTGCTGGAGAAGCTCTCTCCCCATTCCCTGCCCAGGCCTTAGGTTGGCCACAGACCCTCCAGACTCAGAGTGAGGGTACGCAAGGCTTTATTGGCTCAGTTCCAGGCATTTGGCATCAGTGTGGGGCTCCCAGCTGCTCCTGGGGGTCTGCTTTGTCTGTCTTCTCTCGGTGGGTCTTCAGGAGCTTCAGAGTGTCTCAGCTACTTCACTTCCTCTCAGCTCTCCCAACATCAGGGGCTGTCCTCTGTGGAAGACCCCACGCATGGAGTCGAAGGGGTCCAGGACCGCTGTGGGGCTGGAGAAGAGAGGATTTTGGCAGCAGCATCTTACCCTGGGCCACGTAGGTTGCCACATAGGAGAGAAAACTGCCTGAGTATGTGTGCCAGCCCTGCTGGGGGAAGGGGCATCTTCATCCATGGTTAGGTAGCTTCAAAGGAGTCATAGATCTGGTGGCTGCGGTTGGGCATGCTGTGGCTCTGGTGGCTCTGGTGACCTGGATGACTCTGGTGGCTCTGGTGACTTGGATAAATCTGATGGCTCTGGTGAGCTGGATGAGCCTGATGGCTCTGGTGACCTGGATGAGCCTGATGGCTCTGGTGACTTGGATAAATCTGATGGCTCTGGT